CAGTCAATGAACAACAGTGGGAGTCATAACAAAGAACTACAGAAGGAAATGATATCTTATTCTAAGGGAGGTTCATCTGCTGCTTCTTTTTCACAATTTATCTGCTAATCTACCACTTTAAGCAACCCTCTTTTATGCTACAAGCACACAAAAAGTAGAAGCTAGGATTCCCTGCTCTGTGAATAAGTTGTTATATATTTCTACTGCTGAGATTTCTAGTTTTTATAAATGCCGTGTGGGCAGAGCAATTCTAACAAGGGACTAGGGAGATGTGGAGCGGCAAATTTACTGCTGCCTGTCTGGTTGCCTCCTGCTGGCCAGGCAGAAAGGTGGTGCAGGCAGTAGGTTTTTTGTTTTTTGTTTTGGTGTGTCAGCTCCAGGATGGCATATCGGGAGGAGACTTGAATCTAGCAGATCCAAACTCTCTGGTGCCCTCAGTCCCTGACCCCACTCATGCCCTGTTTGGGGGTTTTCTGCTGGATTCCGCCCCCCAGAGCTTCTACTGCCCCAGAACCTGCCTCCCCACCCAGCACCACTTCTCTCTGCTGGTGGAGAGGTGACTGTGCCAGCCTACCGCTTCCCCATCCTAAGTGGGGTTATGGATTTTCTCTTTTTTAAAAAATCCAAAGCGATATACAATAAACTATATTTAAATAACTGCAGAGGTTCAAAGCCATATATTAATCATAAACCGGAACACACGAGGGCTTATCAGCAATGTTTCACACTCTTTCCAAATAGGTCGTGCTGAAGTAACACAAGTTCACAGATGCACACGACCTTTTCTTTATCCTGATTTTACTGGCATGGAAGTGCATGCAGTGTTCTTTGTTCACAACAGGACTTTCTCACCTCCTTCCTATCCCATCATAGCCTGGCATGGCTTCTGAAAAAAAGCCGGTCCTTAAAAAAGATCTTATTCAATCTAAGCCAAAAAAGAAAAGGTTGTCAGTGTTTGTAAAAAAAAAAAAAGGAAAGGGTTCTGACCTCCCTTTGTCTCCTCAGCCTGGTCCTCAGACCCTTGTCGGCATAAAAGAGTCCATGAGAAAAGTATCCTTGAGGACTTTTATTCTTAAAAGTCTTTGTGCAAAAGCAACTGACCAACTGTACACACCAACACTACCAGCTTTCACTAACTAACTAACTAACTAACCAACCAACCAACCCAACTCAGCAAGTAACGAACATTTCTCACTCTATATATACAACCGCTGACTCATGCTGACCCAGCTTTATTCACATTAAAGAAACAGCGGCCATTTTAGCCGTGACAAAGGTGTATCTATACAACACTGCCAATCTTTGACAATTACTTTCTCCCATGGTATGTAGTTTAAACACTAATGACCCAACTACATTTCCGTCATCCACTACTTTTTTTCATGGTTATGGTGGTTCCACTTGCAAAAAAAAAAGAAAGAATAAGTTTTGGTTCTTCTTCAAATTGGTGACTTCCCAATATGATCAGCATGTTAAAAGGATTTCCAGAACACTGACTCCCAGTAAATGTCAAGGACCTGCCATCATAAAGTTTTCTGGGAGCTGCCTGGTGCTGTTTCCAAGCCTGAATATAATTCAAATTAGAACTCAGAAGGCAAAGACTGCAATAAGCAATAGGTGCGGATCAGGATATGCATGGGCAGAACCCCATTCCCAACTTCCCCTCCCCAGTAGAAGTGTCCTTTGGGCGTTTTGCAACAAGATTGGATGGGGTGTTGGGGGATGAAGCAGGAAGGGGGAAATGGAGGAGCTAATTTAATAGGTACAATTAGCGGAGCTCAATGAAAGCAATGGGCTTAAGAGTGCCTAACTATTCTAGACTGTGGCACTGGCCTTGCTTGGGCAATGAGAATGCCTCAACAGAGTTTTACTTTTTCTTAAAAAAAATGTAAATAATCTTTGTAATGCATCTGCTTGGTTGTAGCATTATTACCAAAGGAAGCAGCAGTGTATATTTTTCAGTGCTATGATGACAATTGTTTTAAATAGTCACATTGAACAGTATTTCATTATTTTCCTAAATGAAAGTGGCATATTTTCTGTGCCTCACATTTTTGGCTGCTTCTCCATGCTAAAATCCTGATCTCTTTCTTGAACTGCTATTAAGTTATGGCTTAATGTGGTATCTGTTCTGTGTAGTCCCCCCCCCCACTTCCCCCCAACTGTTTAAAAAACATCCAGGGTTGATGGTGATGAATCACTCAGTTTTCATATTTTATGCTGATGTTTGCTAACTTGCCTCTGGATTCCCTAGAAAAAGCTTAGTACATCTTTATTAACCTGGGGCTCTAGTTTATCCATCTTACGAACAATGCCAGTGCAACAAAATAAAGGTTGTGGAAGGAAGTAATTCAAGGATTCATACTTTTCAGATATCTTTTTATTGGTTTTTTTTTAACAAAGTTGTCATGATTCTTCAGAGCTGCTCTGTTTTTCATCACACATTTTATTATATAAGCTATACATTTAAATAGCCTTGGATGTACTATATACTATTATGCTCAATCATTTTACATTTCTTCTGTCCCAAGGATCAAGTATTTTTTGGTCTTCTAAACAGAGATATATATAATGCTTGCTTAACATTTTGGGGGAATTTTTTTGTTTCTCGGTTGTGAATGCATCTTTTTTTAGCACTTGAAATAAGGTGTTCAAACTGTTTGAATTGGCAGTTGTGTTTTATACTGCTCTAGGCTACTGTGGGCTATTGTAGTATAATCCAGGCTGTGGGTTGTATCCAAATAAGACATACTCTGAGTAGACCAATTGAAACCAATGGACTTAAATTTATTACATCAATATCAATGGGTCTAACTTTGAGTAGGACTTAGTTGGCTACAGACTATTTATGCTGTTGCTGTTGCAAATATAGTTTTTGTCTTTTATTGATTTTAATTATTAATTCAGTATTTTTAAAATAATGTCTTGCTTGTAAGCCACCCAAGAAATTTCTATTGAAGGGCAACTTTATAAGTAATATTAAGTAGTAGTAGTAGTAGTAGTAGTAGTAGTAATAATAATAATAATAATAATAATATATTCATCCATACTTAAATAATGCACAAAGACACATGGATGTTCTTTCATTTAGGAACAGCAGTGGAAATTTTATTGAATAGTTACATACATCTTGGGGCCCTCCTGTGGTGCTATGGTTTAGTGCATGTGGCTGTTAACCAAAAGGTTGGTGGTTTGAGCCCACCCAGGGATGGCTGTGGGCAGGATTCCTGCACTGCAGGGAGTTGCATTAGATGACCCTCAGGGTCCCTTCCAATTTTACAGTTCTATGATTCTATAACATTCATTTTTTTTCTAAAAGACTGACTGATGCGGATAAAATCTACAGTTTCTTATTGCTCTGCAGGTTAGAGAATCCATTTTTTATTCGTGACTCTTTCCTTTTCCATGTTGTTTGTGTTGGGTCATTATAATAGGATATGATATTTTGCGAGGGTTCCTTGGATTATGCCAGGGGTGGAGCACTTTAGGCCTAGGGGATGAATGGGACCTTCTAGCCCTCAGGACTCTATACAGGACACTCACCCACTGGCCGTGACCCTCAACAGCCATGCTCTGCATCTGCCACTACATATGGCTGGAATGTCCCTTGAACTGTGATAATACTTCTTGCTTGCCTGGATGGAGGATAGATAGTGGTGTGTGTGTGTGTGTGTGTGTGTGTGTGTGTGTGTCTAACTACATTCACTTTGACTGCTCCCACAACTGACACGCATTCCCCAGAGGTTTGCCCATGGGCAAGTAACCTAGCTTCAAGGTAAAGAAGAGTTCTGAGCACAAATGGTCCCCCCGCAAAAGGTCTCCATCTATGCCAGTAATTTCCATTCTGTGTGCTGGGCCATAAGAAACAAACTACCTGAGGCTACAGTCCTTAAAATATACTTACTAGGGAGAAAGCCACAATGAAATGTACTTCTAAACAAGGATGCATAGGATATTTAATGCTGTAGTGTTTTTAACACTCAATTGGGAGCCGCCCAGAGTGGCTGGGGAAACTCAGCCAGATGGGCAGGGTATAAATAATAAATTATAATTATTATAATTATTATTGTCCTGCATATTTGCAGTCTTGCACAGTTATCTGGGAGTAAGTTCCATTGAATTTCCAATTAGGAAGCACACTGATATCAATGACTGATACAGAAGTCAAGGGATGGGTGCTGTGTAATTTCTTAACTCTTACACGACTTAAAGGTAAACTTTTTTCTTCAAGTGTAAGACTGAAATGGTTCTCCAGTTTCATTTTAGAATAAAAGAGTGTGTGTCTCAGCTATCAGAAGTCCGGTAAATACAGGTTTATATTTATAGAAAGTTACATGTTGCAGGATGAAGTTCACTTATTTTTAGCCTTAAAATGAAAGTCCTAAATACTTCAAGGGAAATGTTTGGGTTGCATCCTTGCTGCACAGAGGGGGATCATTGATTTCCACAAGGTAACGATTTCCTTGTTTGTTGATTTTACTAAAGGTTAAGCTACAGTACATCTTCCAAGCTGATATGTGGGTTAAATAGTTAGGACTCTGATTTGTAACCCTATCCTGTGGCTGCACCACTGCTGTTCTTGTAAATGTCATCACTTTCTCAGTCCTATCTGGTTATATCTGAGTCATGAGGTGCTGACAAAAACCCACTGCACTTAATGTGAAACCTGAGGCATTTTGCTCATTCCAAAGATATTAGCAATAGCCAACTTGGCATTTAACTGATAAATAACTTGCACGTATCTGCTGCATTAACTTTTGCTTCTCTGTGTTCCCCCACCCCTATCTGTACTGTTTTTTTTTCAGTAATCAAAATTTAAAGCACTGCTAGGCAAATCTTATGTTCTCTCTTTGAAACCTATGTTTGAAACAGAATCACTAAGTTTCCATTACGTTTCCTTGGTCTATTTAGTTGTTTTCGGATTGAAGGAAGGCCTGTCACTAATACTTCATCAACAGAGTATAGTTAATTTCCAACCTTTGGCCTCTCTTTATTTTCAGCCATGCAACAGGATATGAAAGTGATAACCATGCAGGCCCTATGTTATACAGCTGTGGGGCCCAGTATAGAATACACACCCATGGAGTCTTTAGAGGAATACAGGTAAGTATACTGCAGAAAATGTACAATTCTAAATGGATTTCCAGGCTGTCATTGGAAACTGCTGCTTTTAAGATAAGAAATGGATCAGGCCATGGTCCCAGATGCCCATAGGGAGCTCGCCGGCAGGACATGAGCATGACAGGATTCTCTCCCTTCCTGTGGTTTCCAGCAACTGGCATTCAGAATAATTACTGCATCTGACCATGGAGGCAGCTATCATGGCTAGTAGCCACTGATATACTTTATCCTCCATGAATTTGCCGAATCCCCTTTTAAAGCCATCTAAATTGGTGGCCACCACTGCCTCCTGTGAGAATGGGTTCCATACTTTTAACCATGTGCTGTGTGAAGAGCTTTCTTTTGCCTGCCTTGAATTCTCCAACATTCACCTTCATTGGAGGTCCATGAGTTCTAGCGCTTTGAGAGGGAGAAAAACTTTTCTCTATCTACTTTCTCTATGCCACGCATTATTATTTTTTACTCCTCCTCCTCCTCCTCCTCCTCCTACTCTTCTTCTTCTTCTTCTTCTTCTTCTTCTTCTTCTTCTTCTTCTTCTTTTACACTTCTATACAGGATCTTTTCTCCACTGTTCCACTGCATCAGTAATAAACTCAGTGAGAAACTATTGGCTGACTTAAAGAAAAAGAAACAACAGAAATAATTTTCTTTAGAACAAGGTACAATATTCCTCTAAATGGGAAACTTCAAAGTGGCATTGCACTTTTCCTAAATATTAGATCTGGCATGTCAGATGACATGTGATTATTAACTGAAATTTTCATTTTTCGCTAAGCTAAGCAGTAATATGTTAAAGCTTGTTTTACAGGAAGGAGAAAAAAAGATGAATAAACAAATTAAATATATATTAATTACAATTTTTTGAGTTTAAGGTAGTATAATTGGAGCAGTTATTGCATGCACTGCTTCCAGTTCTGAAAACTGGTCATATAATAATCCAAATTCTTAATGCCATTATAGGATGTGAGACGAGTACCTGGAGTAGCTCCTATGATTGTTAGATCAGCAGGTGACACAAATGAGAAAAGACCTTTCATGTGTGAATACCCTGGCTGCAATAAACGATATTTCAAACTGTCTCATCTGCAGATGCATGGAAGAAAGCACACAGGTAAGTATTTTAATGGATTGCAAAATTGTCCCTAGTTAGAAGTCTGATTCTGTGCTTTGGTGTTTACTGTACTGGGAATTGAACCCATTCATATAAAATGGCTATTTACATACCAACAGCAAAAGCAAGTGCTGATTTGCATAAAATTCGCATAGGTTTGTAGGTATGCAAATTTATATACAAATTCATATGATTTAAATAGAAATACAGTATATATAATGGGAAACACTATGACTAGGTGACCTTTGGGCCTTCTTACTGCTGATGGGGAACTTCAAGGAACTACTATGGTTTTTAATTAAGACTTGGAGTGGACCCTTCAAGTAGAAGACTCCTTCCGACAGTGGAATACATGACCATGCTGTGTTCATAATCCCTCCAACATGGGGCATTTTAGGGTCCTTGGGCTAAAAAGAGCAAGACAGTCCTTCACTGGTCACCTCTAATAGGGATGCAGTGTGTGTGTGTGGTTGCTTTGCACATACAGCACAACTGAATAAGTACCTTATTCGTCAGGCATGGCCTCACAGGTCTTGAAGGGGTTTTTTTTAAGGAACAAAATGCTTCTGTATATCATTCCAAATTAATGATTTGTATGTGATGTTTTTCCAGTGAATTGTGCTTGATAATACACACACACACACACACACACACACACACATATGGGGGTGGAGCTGGATGTGCTCCATAAGATTCCTCTTTCTCATCACCTAGATATGTATACATGACTGGCTCATTACATTTCCTGCAGACTGCTCACTCAGATAGTGTTACCCACAGTTGGATTAGAAAGCATGCAGAGCTCGGATAGAAAAATTTGGAATTCATATCAGCATTTCTTAATGTTTCAACACAGCTTTTGCTGACTTCTCATGTGCCCTTTAACTGCTTATTGAGTGCTTTGCTGGTTATTAACAATACCATTAACTGAAACATATAATAATAAAAGGCATCTGGTTGATTTGGAGCACTAGGAAGCTGAGAAATACAACGGGGGGGAAACAATATAAACAATACACTGAATTAAGTGGTAAGATTTCATGGAGCTTTCAATCACCATTAACATGACCCAGCAACTATGATTTGTGTTTTTGAAGGTTTTTTGGAAATTGGTGTATGGTTTGGGAGTCTGGAAGGAATGCAATTTCAGGCTTTCTAGCCAAAATGACCCCTCACCTCCTTCCCCCATGCACTGTTCCAGGGATTCGCCTAATCCCACCCCCCAGATGAAGGGGGGAAGCCCTATTGCACAAACAGAAGTCCTTATGCACTGACGTGACTCATTAGTAGAATGCCACTCTTAGTTTTTTAATCAGTGAAGTGTACTACTTTGTACCCATCGGAGTTTTCTTCTCAGCAAAACTGTAAAAATGTTTTGCACAGAACAAACAACCATATAACAGGCACAGTTCTTGCAACATTTTTTCTACTTTTGAAAAGCAAAATTTCATTACTTTAACAAATTTATATTAAAGATTTTGTTTGGAAAGTCATGGCTCCTTCTCCAGGGAAGGATACAGAGTGTGGAAATTAAACAACCGTCTCTTCTTCAGAACATTTGCATAAGTCACTGTCACAAACCTGATGACCTGGAGCAGCTCACCCCAGTTCATACTGGGTCTTGTGGTTTTTATTACACATTCTCTCCTGACTAGGCCATTTTGTTCCCACCATCACTGTAGACTGGTCTCTTCCAATTAAAGGATTGCCTTTAGAGTTAGCTTATGAAGTTGTTCTCTGTGAGCACTCACTTTCTGCGTGTGCAGTCTTTCCAACCTCATCCAGTACCCCATTCCTCTTCAGAACAATAATGTTTTTCAAGGCCCATGGATATATTCATGAACTTGGAGAACTATACCAGTTATGAGGTATTATACTCTGAGAGAAAAAGTATCAGCACATATAAACCCTTCTGTAAACTTGATGCCAACTTTTCAGCTCTGGCTATACATTAGGATGACTACACGGTAGCTTGAATGACAGCCTACACCTGCTGAAAAGCCATTTTATACACAGGTATTAAAGATGCAGGAGGCACGTCTTCCTTTTCTGGTCACCCTATGCTGCACTGATGCAAGTTGCTGAGCTTGCTGCAAGCACGCATGCACATACCAAGCTAAGCTACAGATCAGCATTCCCATAATTACACACTGATTACACATAACAGACAGCATCTCCTTGGTATGACTGGTTTCTTGCTCCCCTCCTATAAGAAAAACATTCTTGAAGATGCAATTGTGCTTCATAACTCTTTTCCAATCAGGCAAATGGGTGGAATTCAACATTGAGCTAATACAATTGTTCCATCAATGCAAGCATTTCTGCTTGCTAGACTGAATGACCTCTGCTCTTCTCTCCCTGTGAGCTGTTCTGGAGGTTCTCCTGACTCTCCAGACCTGATGGGAGTGGAGAAGAGAAGAGGGGAAATCTCCATCGTGCTGGTGAAACTCATTGCCCTGCTTCCCACTAGCACAATTCTTTAGCAGAATCTGGCCCCAAGTTTTTTGCACCTTAGATTTGGGACCAGACAGTGGGAAGGTAGCTGTGAAGATGAACCTTCCATGTGTTTTCCTAATTACCAAAGGCAAAAGGGGCAGGAAAGGAGTTTACTGGTGATCAGTATGGGGATGTCCCTTAAACTTCACTTTTCTGGGCCCTTATCAGTCTGCTGCCTCAACAGAATAGAATGAAGTGGTTTAACCTTGAGGAGAAACGAGTGGGAGACAGCTCTCTGGGGAACAACTGCTATTTCCTGGAATGTATGCGCAGAGTGTAATCTTGAGGCCAATTTAAATTTATAGATAGCTAGTGTATAAAAAAAGTATCATGAATGGGGTTTTCTACATAACCACAAAGCTCTTTGGAAAATAAATACACATGGTCTTTCTTCCTGTAAATATTTCATAGCTGGTTTATCAGGTATTCCCCATTGAGTGACTTTCCACAAGTTTCTGTTGCTTACATTTTCAGTGGTAATGATACCTGTCTTCACCTTTTTGGAAGGAGATGGGAATAGGTTTTCTGATGTTCAGCACATTAAATTTACCATGCTATAAGAATAATTTGTGCACCCAGGCATGAATGCACAGTAGCAGCAGTCTGCATTATGGATAGATATGTGGTGGTCACCCTTCATCTATGGCTTTCAGTAGGTCAGATGTTGCTCATCTAGTCCCCTTGTGTGCTGCTGAGCAGGTGCTTTCTATGAGCCCAATCTGTGTTGGAAAGTGCTTCTGGCATCTCATATCTCAGCATGTGTCTGAATCAATCCTGATGTTTACTAGAAATTCATAGGTAGCTAATTATAGGGAGGAGGGCAGTAGCCCAGTGGCAGAGCACATACTCTGCAAGCAAAAGGCCTCTGTCATTTCTGCATAATGACACTTCACTCCAAATCTCCTAATGACAGCTCCCAGGGGCTTCATATAGGTGTTACAAAGCATGGGGCACAATATGTAACCTTGCAGGACACCACAGGGCAACTCCCATAGCACTGTCCTAAGTTCTTAACCCTTATTTCAGGACACAAATTGCATCAGAAGCATAACAAGATGCCCCATGTTATCATTCAACAAAGTGCTTGGGATACTTCTTACACTGAATAAATATTAGATAATAGTAGCGATAGCTCAAGACGAACACACAGAAGCTATAAGATTTGTAACAATGCCAAAAGCCATTCATACATTGTACATGGTTTGCTATTCAGCATATAATTCCTGACAAGGGAACTGTATGACACCCATGTTTGTATTTATGGGTGTAAACTTGAAACATCTTAGGCATATAGGGTTGCATCTGACTAAGTCATACTCAAGAACAGTGCTTTTTTCCTATTAAAATATTTAGGGATACTGTACTCTCATGTTGTCTCAAGAAAACACCATTTTATAGTTCAAAAATAAATACAGTACAAAGATTCACAAAATGTTTAGGGGTATGTATACCCCTGCATACCCCAGAAAAAGCATTGCTCAAGAGTAGATCCACTGAAACTAGTGGAGGTCAATTGATTTTAATGGATTTTAATGGATTGAGCATAATGGATCTACTTTGAGTATGGCCTAGTTGGATACAACTCATAACGTGTGATGAGGTCCCTGGGTTATTGAAACTTTCTTGATTACATAAGTGGCTTCATGCATGTTTTACATCAAAATCTAATGTGATTTCCTACAATGATGAAAGTTTCTATTCGGAAATGCAGAGACATGTGAAGATAGTAAGATACTGAAAAGGGTAAATGACATATTCTGTTTGAAAACATTCCCACACATAGATGAATGACAGCAGAGGTCTGTAGCAGATGGTTGCTGTAGCTTAACTTGAGAAAGATATAACAGTTCCAGTAAGCCTGATAATAACAGAAGACCTTTGTTTGCAATGTGGAAGCAGTGTGAAATGTATCACTTGATGCTGCTCAAATGCTCATGCTTTAGAACTGCATTTGCACTGAACTTTGGAGACTACAATCTGCTCAGTGCATTGTGTTCCACCAGCATTCTCTGTCTTAAATCTGCCAAGGCTTCAGCCTTCCTCACAATCAGTTTTAAGGCACAGCAATTCCTACGGGAGACCTTGTGGCCAGATTTAAAAGGAACCGTTTTAAACACATGTGACAAATATAACTTTTTGAATAAATAAATTAATCTGAATGGACGTGGAAACAACCCATTTTGGGTTTTAAAAGCCAGTAAACTCCTTTGGGTGACTTCCACAGGAAGCTATAAAGATTCTCTTACAGATATCCAACAGAAACGTTTAGATATTGAACTCCTTGCTTTCAGTGTAAATGTGAAAGAGCAGTTAATATGGGTGATGTCGCTTGTCATTTGGAAAAGACATAACGATGTTTCAAAGCAGTTGCTTTATGGCATGCTAGCAAAAATAACTCTTTTTAATAGGAATAAACCTAGTTTACAAAAGACTCATATAGCATATTGAATAAACTAGAACTGATTCAGTGTTTATTAGTCCTGAAGAAATGTAGAAATGCATGCCACTATGCAGGGTTCTTAGCTGTGTGGTCAGAGCATATGCTTTGCATGAACAAGGTTCCAAGCTAAATCACTAGCATCTCTAGAAGATGAAAGGGATGCAGGGGAACCCAGCCTGAAACTCACTGTCACTCAGAGGAAGTCTGCTTTGCATTTGTAACAAGCTAGTCCTTTAGGGTGGCAGCACCTGAACTTTGGAACTCCCTGTCTATTGATATTAGGCAGTCACCATCACTACCCTTTTAGATGCCTTCTGAAAATGTCAGCTTTGGCAGGCCAATCCAGACACAAGATTGTGTTACACCTGCTCTTATATCTGATTCATATGTTTTATTGTGCTTTATTGTTTTTAGATTTCTTAATTCCTTTTAAAAATGAGTATAATGTGTTTTCATTTTATTTTTAATCTTCTTTTTTTTAAAAATAATAATAATCACAGAGGTGTTTGCTCCCTTGGGCTCCTTTGGGAGGATGGATGGGATATAAAAGCAACAAAATGAATAAACTGTGCTAGATGCACCCATGTTCTGACTCAATAAGACAGGTTCATATGCATTCCTCTGTTTCTGAACATCTGAATTGACCATTGACTATAAATATCTTACCAATACACATTTGCCTGTTTTGCTTCAAATGCAATTTTTTTTGTATGCTGTTTTCCTTCTTTTCCATCAAAATATTGAAAAGTTGGGACATTACAAGTATAAGCACATGGCATTTCTGCCTCAAGATTGAAAACTGGTATGAAATGATTTATTGTGACAGAGTGAGGCATGTATAGAGTTATTTCCTAAGCCTTTTGCCCGCAAAGGGTCAGAACAAAGACTGCCACTACTCTGGATGTTTATCTGGCCTTTATAGAAAGCCCTACTAAAATCTCATATGAATCGAAACCCCAGTATTTTTTTTTAAAAATTGCTAAATCATTTGGAAGGTTCTATTAGACATGGTTTCTTACTTGCCAGTCGCAGCTACAATTCTTTATGCTGAGAAATGGAGATTGAGCAATGAAGCACCCATAGAAGAATTCAGGAGGATGCCCTTATGGCAAAGTTGACATATTTTACTAGATCTAGAGAACAAAATCAAAATCACAGATAGGACAATTTTGGGGCAAGATGAAGGCATGGCCTTTCTTCCAACAAATGTTATGGTCTCACAATCTATTAATGTTGGAAGAAAATAAGCATATTATTTATGTAACTTTATCCTTAGTTATTTTTGGTAAATTGCCCCTTGTGATCTTGAATTATTAATCACTTCCAGTACATGTTGACCTTCTTCAAAAATAAAAAATAAAATAAACCAAAATCAAAACAAAGCATGGGCCCAGCTGTGACTTTGGTAGACAGTGACTGAATATTCTCAAAACATAAGATGCAATTAAGAAGTAACAAGAGTCCTGGTCATGGAATGGGCTATGAATCTACAGAAGCTCCTGCTCAATGTGATTCCCCCTTACACTGCTGTCTCCAGTAACACCTCTCACTCTCATTTGGAAGGTTCCCTCTTCCTCCGAGCAGATTTAAGGGGGCTCAAAGGCCTACTGCAGGCAAAAAGGTGAACTGGAAGAAGTCACCTTCTCCCCACCATTCAATGGACCTTCATTCATGCTTCACTTGGATCCAGCCCACTGAAAGCCCCATTATGCAATCGAAAGTCCTCGTGCAAGTCTTCTGCTGCCGGGGTTGGTTTGGAAAATCCCACCCTTGGTACTTTAAATCTACAAGGTTGTCAGAACAGCTTTTAAACTGATTTCTGATGGCAGAAAACTGACAGAATCTGACAAACATCTGTTTCAGGATTATCATTCCTAAAGGAATTTTAACTTAATTTGCATTAAGTACCCAGATGGGTACGACATAAGTTGTCGTATCCATATACTGGTAGCAAAATAAACTGCTTTGCCACAGTTCAGATGTGACTGCATACCCAATTCTTCCCATGCAGAGATTTTCCTTGAAAATGACTTACAGTATATAAAGCACCCCTGCTACAACACAGATATAGTCACCTGCTTTAAATGTGTATGTGATTGAAAATTGTTCTAGTGTGTTCGTATGGGCTTTTATTTTCCAACTTAATTCACCTTTTTCAAATGAAACTTGTTCTCCCTAAGGTGAAAAACCGTATCAGTGTGACTTTAAGGACTGTGAACGAAGATTTTCTCGTTCAGATCAACTCAAACGACACCAAAGACGACATACAGGTTTGTTGCATGCCTTGGCTTTTGAAATTTGTAGCAGTTTGCAGTTTCCATAACCTAGAGTATGAAAACTTGAATTCTAATTCCTTTCTCTCCTCCTTGCCCCTGTAATTCAGGATTATGGGCTCACGTGTCATCAATTGTTTGGATACATTCAAATTTAAACAGCAAAAAAGCAGTTTATTGAACATATGCAGTGGATATTTTCATGTATCATTAAAATTGTGGCATAGCTAGCAACACTATCACTTCTGTTTTGAGGAGAAGCAAAAAGATTTGTGCTTTTGGTACATATTGTTAGATGCAGGAGAATCCAATTGTTTTTAAGATGCAAAGAACAAATATGTTGTCCATTGATACAGGTGATCCTGATGAATAATCCGGTGAAAGGGCTTATGCAAACTTCACCAAGTAGAAACATTGTTATTTGGAGAGCTATTACATGCATTTATACATTTTATTTACATGCATAATTTATAATATATTATTAATGCAAACTTAATGCCTGATGATTTTGATGTCTTTATTCTGGAATTTTTAAATCAGTTGCGAAAAGCCTCTTGTCTGTGTCTCAGTATTTCAAACAAAGCAGCAGATAATATTGCTATTTTGCTTTCTTGGTTTTCTTGACAACAGGGATGGGGAAACTTCATCAGATCAAGGATCATGCTTCCTGACAGGCAATCTTCTGGGGGACACATGCCAGTGGTGGGGACGGCCAGGCACAAAAGTGGGTGGCTCAGTGGGTGTGACTCGTGCCTTTGTGCAGTAGGTCACATGCAAGCTATGCAAAAGTCAGAGAGACCTTTCCTCAGAGATGGCTGCTTCTTCAGCTGTGACTGTTCCTGTACAGAGATAGCCTAGCCACAGTGATCCATGCTCTGGTAACCTCCAAGCTGGACTACTATGCTGAATTAAACATGACAAAACATGACTACTAGGTTTTTAATGGGTACAGCCAGAGCAATTTATATTACACCTCTTTTGGAAGACCAGTATTGGTTGCCTATTTCCACCTGAGCCCAATTTAAAATGCTGGGGCGTATTTTTGAAGAAAGTAGGAACCTCTGAGCTGCCAGTCTAATTTGATCCAACAGGCTAGTTTGGTTCATGAGGTGGCATTTGTCAGGCCAAACATCCAGCTGCCAATCACCTGACACTGGGTGCGCTTACTGTGGCCATCAGGAGTGAATTTTGTGCAAGATGCACTTTTCATGGCACTGTACATTGTTAACTTTCAGCTGCCCTGAAGGCCTCAATTTCAAAAGCTGGTTCTAGGAGCCATTTCCATTTGGCACCATTTTCAGCTGCTCAGAGCAGTACACTGTCAGGAGCACAATACAGAACATCTGGTGCAGTACTCTTAACATAGCTACACTGAAGCTGCCTTCTCACCAGTTAGAAAAATCATCTCATCAGTTAGAAAAAGTAAGGACCCCCCTTCTGTTCTCTCCATTTCCCAGTTAGTAAACATGCACACACACTCTTTTAAGAGTTAGTAGAGGTGAAGTTATGGTTCAAATTTGTTTGGCCAGAATGATGTGGAAGTAGCAGCGCTTTGATTGGATTGGTTTGAAAATCAAATCATACTTAGCATAGACCTATCCCAATGGTCCTGTGAATGGGCAATAATCCTGAGCATTTTATATGTTTGTTTTAAGAAATAATGAGAACATTTGCTAATGCAGAACATTCTGTACCAAATTTTGGAATCTCTGGAGTTAACATATACAGGGTTGTACCCAGTAGTGCCTTTGGCTTAGTGCAGGCACCACTAGCCATAGATTTGGGGGCTTGATGCAGTCACCAAGCAAATTTTGGGGGACCCCAAAGACCCCACATATTTTGTGTTGTGCCAAAAAGAAAACTTAAGAAAGTAGAAACATTGATGTGGTGGATGGTGAAGTTTAACTCTCTCTGTCCAGCACAACATTCTTGATGGTGATACAATCCAGCCCCTCCTCAGTCATCAGATCAATCATGTGATGAGTAGGAAGGGGGCAATAATTCCCCCCAGCTAATCTACAGGGGGATGTAGGGGGATGTGCCCTGTGCATTTGCAAGTGGGAGTGTGGGGCAGCCACACCAACTTTCAATTACACCCACAAGCAGGGCGTACCTGGGTGTTACTCAGGTTGGCCCCTCCCAAGGGCACACGCCCAGGGAGGTGCAAAAAGTGGCTCGGAGTGACTAGAAGCCTACCTGCCCATCTGCATGCTCCCTGGGCAGGACTTCCACTACTCCGGGTGGCCAGGTGAGACACGCAGGCTCCTCTGAGCACCTTGGCAGAAGAATTTGGTCACTGGTGTGGACCATCACAACATCTCTGCAGGGGCCCCAACCCAATTGGCTGGGGGCACTATTAGAAGTGTGAGTGGAGCACCCAGCAGGGCTTGGAGGGAAGAAAGCTAAAGAGAGTGGGCGAGAGTTGCAGAAGGAGGAAAAAGGGAGGGAGGGAGGAAGAAGGACGCAGAAGGGAAAGCAGTGCGGGGAGGGAGGGAGGTGAACCGATGGAGGAGGAGGATGTGGGGAGGTGGAGCAGACCCAATGGAGATGGCCATGGAGGAAATCACTGGAGGAGTGCAGAAGGCAACAAAAAGTAAACTTTTTGAGTTTCTGGTCCATGGTCTCTCCCGGCTTTGGAGGAACCAATGTATCTCCTACCAAGGGTGCAAGGGATGGATGGGTGGATGGGTGCTGATACAGCTCCTTGCAAAGGGCGCAAGAGAGCCTAGGTATGTAGCTGCCCACATGTGGCATGTGCCCCTCTCCTCAGGTTGGTCAAGGATGAATGTATCCCTCAGACAAAAAAGGTTAAGTACCCTTGCTTCAATGGGTAGTGTGCCATCCAGTTTCTCCAATTTACTTCAGCACTCCATGCCATATTCCATACTATCCCAGAAGTCTCCAAACCCTCGGGAGCAGCTTTTTGGAAGGGATGGGGGAACTTAACCAGGTAGGGAGTGAATAAAAGAAAAGAAAATGCCTTGGTTTGTGGAAGTGCTTTCTGCTAGGGGAAATACACCATTAAACATTTTTTTTTGTGGGCATCAAACATTTTGTTAACAAATATTAAAACTTTAGGCTTGGTGATGAAGGACATGGAATATTGTGCTTAGCTTTATGGTTGGTTAGCTCTTTTGTTGGTTAGCATATCCTTTGCTGGATATAGAAAGTAAATTTCCTAGGTTAAAGCACATAATTGATGGACCTTTTTTTTAACATGTTAGGAAAATATGTAGAATATTGAACAAAAGTTAATTTCAAATTTAAATGAAATAATGCCCCAGCACCAGAGGATGTTCCTCATTTGCTACTTTTCAAGTGACAAATCTGGTAGGGAGTTAATCCTTACCTGCTTTGCCAGGAACAAAGGCACTGTGAAAGCACTAACTGGCGAAAGAGGATTGAAGAAGGGTTATGAAGTTCAGAAGCCTGATTAATGACCTTTGGGATGTGTAGGCATGTGCAAAGAGAAAGATTAATTTCGGTAACTATTAAACAACAAACGCAAAGCAAAAATCCATAGTTTGGAGGTCATAAGCAACTGGTGTCCCTCATTCCTCTGAAAAGGTATTGGAACATGGGACTAGACTTCTTTTATCTATTTAGGTGTGAAACCCTTCCAGTGTAAAACCTGTCAGAGAAAGTTCTCCAGATCTGACCACCTGAAGACTCACACCAGGACTCATACAGGTAAAACAAGTGCGTATACTTTTATTCCCATTTATATTTTTAAATTTATTTTACCTGAATTGATTTTGCTATGTTTTAAATGCATATGGTAGTTCCGGGAAATTAGTGAATGTCGTAAGAGGCATGGGTTAGAGTTATCACTATCACATGGTGGAAAAGTAAAACTCAAATAAGGGTGCAAAATATAAATAAATGCTGAAAGGTTTAGAGCTTTTCTAGGTGATATCGGCACTTTTCTTTTGGTGCTATATGGAGATGTACTAAACAAGTGATCCTGCTTAGTCCATCCTATGAAGCTTCGTGTGCCTTCACCTGAACATTAAGTATTTGAAAAATAGTGAGAACTGCACTGAAGCTGGAGACTGTAGGATCATATTTTGAAAGGAATGTAAAAATTATCTGCTGCTTTCATTAATGGGTCATCTACAAAAAAATTCTTAGAAGTTTAGAGTGGTGTTGCCACTGCAAATAATCAATCCCCCTCTTTGTATATCTCTGTCAGGACCACAGCTCGGCAGAAGAGGAGATTTAGCTTTCCCCCTGCCCCAATTTTCTTGTAAAAAACCATATCCCGCAATACATAGCTTCTGTTTGTCCCCAAAGCTGCCATTTTCTGCAGCTCTGGAGGCAAGTTGCAGCTTCAGGTAGGGGCAGTTTTCAGCAGCGCAGGATTGCCGCCAGAGGAAGAGTTAAACCCTACTCCCTTGTGCTAAAGTGCTGATCTGAATTGTGGCCTTGGTGCTGCATGAGATTAGTGTCAGAT